ACGAGGGCCGACAACGCATTGTCGAAGAAGTCGCTGCCTCGGAAGCAGGCCGCGGCATCGCTCGCAGCAGCGGCGGAAGACAGGCGCCACCAGCGCGCGTCCTTCGTCGGAAGGGTGACCTGACGCGCAGCGCTCGCACTGGCGCTGGTCGGCGCCTCACGCTGGGCCAGCAGCGCCTTCGTCGGCGCGCACACCTGCAATGCCGCAGAACCGGCGATGGCTTGCATCTTGCTTCCGCCGATCGGCTATGGCCGACCAAAGGGGGAAAATGAAAGACTCTCTCGGCTTCTTCCGCAGCTTATGGGTCGTCAGCTCCAGGTCAGCCGGCCACGTGGCCCACCCTTGCACCGTCTATAGAGAGAGAGAGAGAGAGAGAGAGAGAGAGAGAGAGAGACCGAGGGGGGAACGGGCACAGCGGAGCGACGATGACTACGCCTCTTCGGCGGAAGTCGGACGTGAGAGGGCGGAATGGGTGCGACTGCCCTCCGGCGCGACTCACACAGGTTACACGCGCTTTGAGAGAGCGTCCGTAGGGACGGATAGAAGGGTGTCACCAGCGCACATCACGCGGGGTTACGCGCGCGTTCCAGGGGTTGGAGCGATGCACGGGGGCCCGTGGGCGCCGCTGCGGACAGGCGTGACAGCGGCGTCCGTCACTCTCTGCCTAGAAAACCGCGCGCCTCAACGCGCCCCGTGTGGGTGGGCGCGCAAAACCCGAGCGCTGGGATACAGCGCGCCAATGAAGTGGATGGCGCTATCTATCCACGAACGATCCTTTTATAACCCGGGAGCGAGTGGTGGCCGTTAATGTGTTCGACTCTTTTGTCTGTTTGCCTTTTTTTGCCTTTTTGTTCGTTTGTATTTTCTCTCTCAAGTTTAAATGTTTTTTTCACGATTTCCTTCCATCTGGCGGGGGTTTGAACGAGGGCCCCAATCCAGCGCCCTAGCTCAGTTGGTAAGGCACGCAAGTGGCATCCAGGAGGTCTTGGGTTCAATCCCCATTGCCCTCATGTACCTTCCTGGGCAAGTTTGGCGCCCGCCACCTAGAGATATGCCGTTGGTCCCCCCGAGTGGCATTGAGCAGGGACTGCTGATGTTCATAGGGGGAGGGGACGGGAGGGGAGGCACAGTGACTGGCCCATCGAAGAAGCTCGAAGAAGCTCGGTCCTGATGCTACCGGCTGACCCCTGGCCGGTATCGCCCACCTGCTGTAGCAGGTATCGCACCTGCTGGTGGGTGCAGCCCCCGCATGTTCCCTTGTTGGAGGCTTGAGCACGGATGTGGCTGCTACGTGGTTCCCCGTAATACTATAGTGACAATAAAAAAGGCCTGAAAGGCCGTCCTGTCCAGATTCGACAGGTAATTGAATTGGTTGGGCTTAAAGAATTAGCCTTTTTAGGGGGGAAAAAAAAAAAGAATGAGGGCCCCCGCGGGACTGGAGAGCCTCCCGGGATAGGTATCAAGCTGTCCGCCTGCAGAAGCAGGTCAAGGAGACGCGGGCGCAGGGACATGCGAGTAGCAAACGGATCAAGAGGGTGAAAAGATGTGCAGAAAATCGTGAAAAATCATGTAAAAATGAGAGAAAATACAAAAGAACAAACGCAAACAGACAATAGAGAAGAGAAATCAATAAAGGTGAAAAAGAAAAGAAAAGAGATAATATATATATATATATATATATATATATATATCGTCAAATAGAACTGSCCGGTAAACCGTAGGCAGAGAGGGATATATATATATATATATAGAGTGATAGAGTGTGAGAGAGAGAGAGAGACATTGGTTGATTGGGTGGTATTTTTGTGCATAGGTTTTGTGGTGTGTAGCTGTCCAGTTTTTGGGCTTGACCAGTGATGGCTCTCCCTAAATCAGGACCGCAAATTTTTTTGGCAGTGAATCCCTTTCTTCTGGGCCTCGCCGCAGGTAAAAAAAAAAAAAAAAAAGAGATACTAAGGGCGTCGTTAGACACTCCTCGGGGCATCCTCAGGCTCCATCTTCGTTACACTCATCCTTGGAGCATCGGTTTTAGGACTCATCCTCGGAGCAATGTCAGAAAAAAAAAAGGAAAAAAAAAAGATAATAAGTTGTGCTTCAGGCTTTCAGCCAATAGGATACCGCCACTATCCGAATTCTCGGCTGTAACGTCTCTCTATGTGCATGCCCTCTCCTCGCCGTGAAACATGGATCCTCGGGGCCCAAAGGACCTCGTGAGGTGCTTTGGAGCCGAGGACTATATGGCTGGGAAATCCTCGGAACCCAAGGATTTGTCCTCGGAGTGTTTTCACATTTTCATTTCCGATTTCATCTCCGAGGACAGGTGGAACGAAGACAAAATCCTTGGAATCACGTCCCCGAGGAGTGTCTAACGACGCCCTAAGAGAATAGATAAATCCTGAATGCAATGCACCCTCATTATGACCGCATCCAACCAGAAAGATAGCTTGTTTGCAGTTCGCAGCCCGTCAGGGGTGCGTTTTATCCCCCTGAGGGCATACTCACACTGGTAGCAAAATTCACAAAAATAGCAGATTCTGTGATAGTACAGGGTCACAGAGTCAGAGCAGGCACGCAAAAGCAATCTGCGTCCACCTCAAGAGGTGTGCATTTTTGCTTTCCCAAGAGTTCACGGGAAAAAGAAGGTAAAAAAAAAAAAAAAAAAAACATTTTTTTTATTTTTTTTTAAGGCTAATTCTTTTAACCAATTCAATTACCTGTCAAATCTGGACAGGACGGCCTTTCAGGCCTTTTTTATTGTTATTATAGTATTACGGGAAACCCCGTAGCAGCCACATCCGTGCTCAAGCCTCCAACGAGGGAACATGCGGGAGCTGCACCCACCAGCAGGTGCAATACCTGCTACAGTAGGTGGGCGATACCGGCCAGGGGTCAGCCGGTAGCATCAGGACCGAGCTTCTTCGATGGGCCAGTCACTGT